TCAAGAAGAAGCGGAACAGATCCCTCATCATATTCCAAAGCATGAAGTTGACCGAACAAAAACTCATTGTCTCTTCGTCTTTTCCCTATTCCTGTTGACACAAGAATGGGCAAAGAGGGGTAACCGTCGACACTCATTTTTTGTCCCATTTAATTATTATTATTATTATTAACTAATTTTTATTCCATGTTTACAGACCAATTACAACTGCCCAAAATTGGGCCCCAATTACATTATACCCAAACCAAGCCCAATAAGTTGACTCATAATACAAACATCAGCCTGTTTGTTCGGCCCAGGGATGAAGCCCACCGTGAAAACCCAAACAGTTAGGGTTTTCCATATTAGCTCCAGCCATCTCCTCATCACAGCCGTCCGATCAAGTTGGAGATGGAGGGCCTAAATCACACCAAAATTAGGGTTTTAACCTAATAGCACTAAATCCAGCCGCCCTCGCTCACCAAAATCAGCCACCCAGTCGCGTGTATGGTGTACGTGCCAAAATTCTTGGCTTCCCGCCACGTGAATTGTCCGTTTCACCTATTCCCCCGCCACCGTCGTTTCTGCCAATCTGAAGCCCTGCAATGTCAGAAACTCAGATCAAATACACAAGCAACCAAACACCAACACAACACGCAAATGATAATTATTTCATTTGTAATCATTTCATTTCAGAAAAGCAAAAAAAGCAAAAAAGTTATAAATTTTGGGTTATATAAACCCTAACCAAATATGTAAAAGGGTACATACTCTCCAGATTCAAAAGTAATAAAAGCAGATATTTGAAATTTTTTTCAAGGTGTATTTTTATTTATTTTATAGTTTCGAAAAGAAAAGAAAAAGTAAATAATTAACTACTTTGCTTGTAAACAAAAACGTGAGGATAGAGTGGTTACCTGAGTCGTAAGGAGAAGCCTTCGTCGCGGTCGGAGTGCGAGAAAGCCGAGGGAGTTGAACATTTGGTGTTTTTTAGGTTCGGTTAGGGTATTTTTTAGGGAGTTTTAGTCCTAGCTCTAAGCCAGAGGCTGTTTGAGGCGGCCGACAGTATGTTGGCCAAAGCAGTTAAGAGAAAACAAAAAAGAAAGGATTTTTTTAGAAACTAGGTTCAAATGAATTAAAAAAAACAAGTTATTTAGATAGAGTAAATTTCGAGGGATATTGCACATAAGTCCTCCAATGTTTAGTGCCTTTTTGCATAAAGGTCATTGGTAGGGACCATTTACATAATTTACCATTTTATGTTTATGTTATATAAATTTTGGTTTAATATCAATTTAGTCCACTGTCTTTTAGCGCGTTTTTGCATATTAATCTTGTAGGGGATGAATTAGTAATTTTACCTTAATTGTTCAAATATGTATATTTTAGGCTAAAAATTGGAATATTTATGAAGTAGTCCCTAAAGTTTCTGTATATGTATACTTCAAACCTCAAATATGATTTTTTATTTATTTTAATTCAACAATGTATTTCTAATTTATTTTAATTTATGTTTTATTTATTTTTCATTCCTTTTAATTTTAGCACTTAATATTGAAAATGTTCATTTTAGTCAATTGTATATTGTATTTTGTTCTAAATTTGGAATGATAGTTTGATTATTTATGTTTTAGTCCTGCTTTTATTTTATTTTAATTTTTTGCATGTTGTTTGCATATTAATTCATTTTAGTCCTAATTAATTTTGTATGATACCCTCATAAGCATAACTTGAATTGATTCGAAATAAATTGACTAAGGGTAATATTCGATCATTTTAATATTGTCGTAAAGTGACTGTCTTAACGTATAAGAAAGTTACTTTCAGTAGTTTAAAATGCAAGTTTATCTCATTTAGTGACATGAATTAAATCGATTTTATTTATTAAAATTCAGGGTTGAGAAAAAGATCATATTCTTTTAATTAAATTCATCAAGAAAAGACTTTTAGATCGAATATAAGGTATCGTCTTGAGATACTTAAATAATTGAACATCCTTATTCTCATTAAATATTGATAAAGTAAATAATTAATTAATTACTTGTTTGTTATGCTTATAATTCGCTTTAGTTTTGCATGTGTTTTCTCGATAAGTTCTCAAAATAAAAACATTTGAATCGATATTGAGAATAATAATATTTTTTCATTTCTGTCAGAGTAATAAATGATTGCTTTAAGGCATGAAAGGTCATTTATTCTCGATTGGAAATAATTAGATATTATTGTTTTCACTTGAATCAATATTGAATTTTAAGACAAAATAGTAATATCTCTTTATTTAAATTGAGGTAATAAATGATTGTTTTAATGAACGAAAGGTCATTTATTCTCGATTGGAAATAATTAGATATTATCGTTTTCACTCTTAAAATTATTTTGGGTGTTATTATTTTGAAATTAATGGTGAAATGTAGAATGAAATTTTAATATTTCTTTATTTCGATTGGAGTAAGAATCGATTGCTTCAAGATATGAGAGATCGATTCTTCTCGATAGAAAATATTTAAATATTATCATGTTTCGTCTAAGAATTCAAAGAATGTTATTTTTAGGGGATCTTAAATTAAATTAGACTCAAACTTATAAATTTAATTGCAAATACAATTAATTAATGTACTAGGTACCGATTTAGGGCGTTGTGGGGTGCTAATCCTTCCCGACATGTAACCGACTCCCGAACTCGAATTTTGGTAACGCATACCACAAGTTTGTTGTTTTAATTAAAATTAATATTTTATTAAAATGACAAATATGTTTTTGGGTGCCCAATCACACCCTAATCAAATATTAGTGGCGACTCCTCGAACCACGTTTTTATCATTAACCGATCATTCAAAGAATTATTTTCGAAACGAGACTCCCTTTTCTCCCACTAGGAAAAAACCGTTTCGACATGGTGTATAGTTACCTCGTCGATGCTTGAGTTGACCAAAATACCAAAATTTACGATTCGTTATAAAAGCTATTAGGAAACTTATGCGTTTAGTACCTAAACTATAAATTTTAGTACGTTTAATACTTAAACTTTCATTTTTTTTAAAAATTATACTTAATGTTTAGTTTTTATTTTATTTTAGTATCCTTGTTAAAAATGTAACGTTAAGTTTTGAAAAAATAAAATAAAAGCTTAGGTACTAAAACAGACTAAAACTGATGGTGTAGATACTAAAACGTTAAGTTTTTAACAACCGGTATTAAAATGAAACAAAAATTCAATGTTAGGTATATTTTGAAAAAATTAAAAGTTGAAGTACTAAAATAAATCAAAACTGATAGTTTAGATACTAAACGTGTAATTTACCCAAACTCATAAAAATCGATCGAATGATTGTCGTCATATGTAGCATCTGTTACACTTTATACTAACAAAAAGCATGGGAATTTTACGAGACTTGCATGAACTACTGTTATCTGTACATTGAATCAAAATCATAAACATGAAGCATTTGATAACAATAAAACAGGAAACAAAAGTGTTTAAATATGAATAATATGAAAATTTAAAATGCATAAAATATGGGTAGGGATGTAAATCAACAGAATCTTCGATAAATAGTTCGTGAATCACTCATATAATATGTATTTTATCGAGCTAGATAAACAAGTATAAATAAATTTTTTATGTTCATTTAATAAATGAATGAACACAGACTAATGTGTGCTATGTTCGTGTATGTTCACAAATAACTTCGTTTATATGTTTTTTTTCGACTAGCTTATAAACTTGTTTACTCCATTCTCCTTTTCTTTTTATTTTTTATATTTTAAATATTGATGAAAGTATGAATTAAATTGAGCACATGGTGAATTTTAGAAGTCCAATATGTAAAACCTAAGGTGCTTAAGAACTAATGACAAAATTTAACTAATTTTTTAATAAACAAATACTAATTAACATGTCGATAAACGTTAAATGAACCGAACACGAACACCTTATAGATAGATAAACGGATATAAATATAATTTTAAAAATTTAAACGAACATAAACACATTCAAATACAAATAAGTAAATATTAATAAAATCTCTATGGTTCAAGTTCGATTCATTTACATCCCAAAACATTGGTAAAAAGTTTCAACCGTTTAATAATTTGTATATATTTTGCTTGCATCATTGGAAAAAATTCAAAACAAAAGGAATAATCAATTATTTGAAGTCAAAGAGAGTGATAAAATATCTGCATTGTATTTGTTTTCTTAAAAATATGTGGATACTATTTAATAGTGTTGTTCTTTTTATAGTTTAAAAATGATGAATTTAGTTAATCTTGGACCCACTTTTTCTAGAGGAGTGGGCCCATTCCACCACATAATACTATGTATATTATTAGGTTTATTTTTGGGGTTAAGAGTGGAAGAAAGTGCCTTCATTGGTGGGGTCCACACCCACACCAAAATTTGGAGAAAATTGAGATACCCCCACTTTGGATTTATGCACTCCAAACTCCCTTTTTGCTTTTTATTACAACGTATTGTTTCTTTCTTTTATTTTTATGCAAAGTTATTGCTCAAATTATATTTTTCATAAATCTAAGACGAGTAGAAGTTATCATCTATTCAATAATACACACATAGGCCATACAAAGGGTTGTGAGCAGCTGCATGTACATATACAGTTTGGGACCCACCCATCTGAGACAAAAGATAAAGGGTAAACTTGGAAACGTAAGAAAAATATAAACTATTAATACAGTTCTTTGAACAGGTTTGGGACCCACCAATCTTACATGACAGAGAAAGTTGTACAAAATTATTCTTCAATATTTATTCCATTGTGTTACTCAACATAATTGCAAAACAAGATTTGAAGTGCTTATTTAAAGTCATGTTCATAGTTATATTAAAATTAAATAAAAAATACTACCCTTCTATCTAATAGACTTTAGTGTTAAATCATTTAGGTCAGTCAAAAATTTTATTATAATAAATTATTGACTTCAGTAGTTCCTGCAAAAAAGAATGACGTTTGATCCCGGTAAAATGAGCAATCAGAATGGAAATGAAGACACGGTAGATGAGAGAAAAAATGGAGAGAATTACTCTCAAATGGCATGTGCAACACATATACATATACACATACATCCTTCAGTTGCATATATGTTCATGTCAAAATATTTGTCTACTCGTCTATTCTGGAAATTTCAAAAATCCCAAATGAGAAATAAAAATTAAACAAGGAAACGAGCCTCCATTACTCCCCACAATAGATGGGAAAGTAGGTGTTGCCCTCCTATTTCCCCCCTACAAAAACATTTTTTTACCACCACAATTAACAAGCAGCAGCAATACAAAAACCTCCACTGCTGTATCTTTTTCTTTTTTCCTGTACGGTACGTGATAGAGATACGAAGCACAAAGGGGTGCAATCCTACTCACCCGCAGGTTGTTTCTGCTCTGCCGGTTTCACCTGAACAGCACCGGGAACGGCATGGACATACGGCAAACCTGGAACAAGCTGATATGGCTTCCCAGATGACTTAGTAGCAAATTGAGCAGCATGGATAAGTCCCTGGGGTGTTATGCCAGTGGCAACTCCCTTCATATTGCCTGCAGCTGCTGCTGCCTTTGCAGGATCAGTGGTACCGGTGTTAGCAAGAGTAACTGGAGAACATAACGACAACATGGACGTTGAATTTGTTGATGATCCCGGAGGCTGTGCTTGCAGTTGCTCATTACGGTGTCTTTGAATGAAGTACCCACTTGGAGCTGTTGTACTTGCGGAGTGTTGAGCTTGGGCCTGCTGCATGTAAGCATTTGAGAAGAACAGCTGCGCAGGATGCATTGCATGCTTTTGATGCTGATGTTTCTGTAGCACCACCTGGGGTTTGGTACCCGTATTTGACGATGAACTTATGTGGGAATTTCCCAGGACCGAAGGCACACTCCTCCCACCAACAGGAGATGACATCTGACTAGGCACTGATGGCGAGTTCTTGGTCTGCTGAGATGATAAACTAGGTGCTTGACCAGCTTTGTTGGCGGTAGAAGCGGAACCTGTTGTCTTGGGGCTACCACCAGCACTCCTGGATATTGAAGTTGTGGGAGAGCCAACCATCATCAGAGGGGAGGGGGATGGATTGCTATTGGGAGGCTGTTGACTTTGTGTCGATTTAGGATTAGCTGCAAAAGAAATCTGTGTGTGGCATTGTTGTGACCGGGCTTGTTGCTTGGAAATATTTTTAAGGGTTGGTGAAGTTGAAGAAGATAGCGATGGAGATACTTGAGAAGCAGTTGTTCTTGCAGAATTCTTCCACTGAGAAGATTGAGCCGGACTGCTGCTTGTTTGTGCTATATTTTGAGGAAAAGCGGACAGAGCACTTGGAAATTTGGCAGCCATGGAAGATGAAGGGAGGTGATCAGAATAAGCACTTCCACTACTTGTTGCCGGCAGCTTACTTTGAGAAGCAGCAGCGGTCCCAAATTGGTGCGACTTCTGAAGCTGAAGCATTTGCTGCTGCTGCTGCTGTTGATTCCGCTGAAGTTGCTGCTGAGCATTAGGAGAATTTACACCACTAATCGAAGCTGGCATAACAGAACCTGAAGTTCTGGCAGAAGCAGAGCCAAGATTAATTGTACGGGCAGAACTATCAATAACATTGTTGCCTGGAAGAGTGGAAACAGACGAATCAGGAAGATCCGGCCTGGATAAGGCAATGGACTGCCCAGCAGTAGCTGAAATCTTTCCTGCTATTGCGTTCCTCCCTTCTTCAGCACTACATGCATTATTAGTTCCATGACTCCCTTCTTCAGAAGCATGATAATTCTTCATCTGTTGTGCTGTATGGGCAGCTACTGCCATGATCTGTTGATAGCCTTGCCTTGTACTCTCTGGAAGGCTTTGAAGAATTGCCTGATCTCGTGCAAAGGAAGAAATATCAAGGCCAGGAGCAGTAGTACCATTAATGGAGGCAAATGGCATGGCAAAAGATTGAGATGTAAGAGGCTCAACTCCAGGCTTCGAACCCAGCTGTTGGGTATGTTGCTTCTTTTCGCCATGGTTACCACCAGAACTGGTGGAACCACCCAATGACGCAGCAGTCATCAAAGTGAAGTTTGGAGATTGCAAGGGCATGGCAAAATTTTGACCATAAATATTCATCTTAGCACCAGATACTCTGCTATTGGCAGTGGATGGGCTTTCTTTGCCACCTAATTCACCCTCAAGGTGCCAAGCTTGGTGGGAAGCATGCTGACTTGGCTGTAGCTGCCGTTGCTGAAGCTTTGGGAGATGAGGTGACTGATTTTTTGGGGTAGGAAAAACTTGCAAGTTTCCACTGCCACTACCCACCACACTCCCATGAGGCCTCTGCAAATGCTTCTGGGAGGAGGATGCACCACTGGACATGCTAGGGTTCTGATGACCTTGTTGGCTTTGCTGTAACTGGATTGGCTGTTGTTGTTGTTGTTGCTGCTGCTGCTGAATTTGTGCCTGGTGAAGCATTTGGGAAGAATAGAAAGATCCGGGAATAAAAGGTATAGGCTGTGCATGATTCCCTCGATATCCGGCCGGTGCCCCAACATGTGCAGGAAATGGAAACGGATATGCATTATTATGCAGAATCGCCAAGTACTGGGTTTCGTTGCCTGGCATATTTGCATAGTTGAAGCTCATTGCCGGGGCTGCAGTTGCACCAGCTGGGGTGGTACTCACTGAGGCAGAATTAGATGTACTAAAAGTTGTGCTGCTAGCACCAGGAGATTTCACAGACGTGGGTCGGACAGATGCAGCAGCAGCAGCTTGTTGTTGGCTCAATGGGAAAATAAAAGCAGGGCCATGCTGAAATAGAACACATCGAAAAGAAAAAAATATCAAAACAAATCTTCAGCTGATATAATTATATCCTTAAAATATCAAAACAAGTAGTCAACCTAATTCGTGTTTACACCATTAATACCTTTAAATGATCCACTACATTGAAACTGTTTTAAAATTTTAAAATTTAAGATTTAATCCGCAGCATTCAATAAAGAAAAGTAAAATTAAATTTTTCATATAGTAAACCAAATTTTAAAGTAAACAGATTTGATCCATTAAACAGCCAGTGTGAACGGCAGTCAATAAGAATTTAAATTCTAAAATGTTTCCTATATTATTATATATAAAAAAAACCTTTACAAGTGTTGCGTCAGTTATACACATGTGCCTCCATAAAAACAAGATAAAGTTTAGATATAGAGTTTTTGCGCCACTTTTATTGTCTGATGTTAAGTGCAGGTATAATGGGATTTTATATGAAATAGGAATTTATTACTTAATAAATGACAGAGAAGGGAAGAGGTTTTCTCAGTCAAGAACATACCAGAATATTACTGGGGGACCCAGGGGGTAGAGCTGGCTGGAGCAGTATTTGCTTTCTCTGTGCAGCATCGACGGTATTGGTAGCAGCCTGCAAACTTTTATCTTTACCAACATGACCAGGGAATATTGCAAGACTCTGCCCCTTGTCCTGTACAGAGTTCACAGCTCTCCCAGGAATGTTCCCATTCATTTCTGAAGGGGGCACAATATTTAGATTTGTCTGTGGTCCATAGAGTGAAGCTGATCCAGATGCTGCTGACCAGAAAGGATTCATCTTCATGAATTGCTGGTGATAGTGTACATTACGGGCAATGTAGCAATGGGTTGCACATCTCTTTGGCCTTGGTTGATTAAAATGCAAATGCGGAGGCTGCAAAGACCAAAACTTTAAAGATAGATTAGAACCAAAAAAAAAAAAAAAAAAGACAGGCAAACATAAAGAATATAGTAACATGCCTGAATAGATGCTGAAGATACAGCATTCCCGTCCATGGATACAACACCTTGTTGAGGTGGCATGTATCTGTTCAGGAAAAGAAAAAACGCATTACTCCCACTATAACATATAAAGCAAAGGCTTATACCATCTAATGTCACAAGAAGCACAAAAAAACGATATTAAATCAACAATTTATACCCCATTGGAGGAAGTCCACCAGGCCAGCTAGCCAATGACATCGGCAAAGGTACACTAGATTGTGCTGATCCAATAACAGAAATCCAAATCAGAAACTAGAGAGGATAAGTTCAACAAGAAAATAAGGATAGGATAATTTATACCAGATTTCTCAATATCAGGCTGTTGATGCTGCAGCTTTTGAGCATGGTGATTGAACTTGTTCGCACAGACACTACCTGTGCCACTATCTCTATCAGGTTTCTTCAAATCATGCTGAAGATTAATATTACTTTCATTATTTAGAACTGGATTAGTTGATTCGGCATCTTCAGCAATCAGTTTGGGCTTCTTACAATCATCAGCTTCAATGAAGGTATCTTCCTTCCCGACTTTCACTCTTTTATCATCTTTCCTAACTGTAGACTTCATTTCCTGCACATGGAAGCAAACCAAAAACCATTAATGACAAGACATCATACAGATAGACATGTGACAGCTTGGTGACTCACTAATTCCATATCTCTGGTCATTGGTTTAGGATCTGAAGCCCCAAAATCAATCTCATCGTCCCTTTCTGGTGATGATCTAGATGAAGGAAGAGCCTAAAACCAAAGAAGAAAAAAACGGTGGAGAAACTAAGAATTCCATAGTCAAGAATCAATTAGATGGAGATTAAAATAAAAGAAACTTGGATCTTTTAAGTTTTAACAACAACAGTATTCATACCATCAGATCAATCTGAAATTTCTCTTCCCGCTGACTCTCAATCTCATAAACTGTTGAATTCCTGAAACACCAAAGCTTTCCAGACTTATAACACCCCCCATTAAAAAAATAAAATAAATGAGCAAAGGAAGCAATGCTCACGCTTTTGTCACAGTCACATCATCAAGCTCATCATCCAACCGGAGACCAGTGGAAGAAGGATTATTATTAGCAGGAGACGAAGTTCCCTTCATAGGAGATTGAGACCCCTCTTTTTTACAGATACCCAGATCTCTACTCTCAGATTCTTCAGTCAAAGGCTTAGAATCTGGTACCAAACTGATCTTCACGTCCTTCATTGGTTCAGCCTGATCCAGCTCTGATGAAACCGGTACGACTTGAGAAGAATTCATCAAATTTTCAGCCATGGATCCAGAGTTCTTCTCAAAATGGGGAGATGTAGCTTCAATTTTAGTAGGTTGATCAATTTCAACCTTAGTTGTAGTAGAAGAAACAGAATTGTTCATAATAGGGAAAATAGAAGGAGACGGTGCTATCGGCGTAGTTTCATCTTCGTACTTCACTGGTCTTGGTCTTTTCCTCTTTGGAGCTGCAAAAAATATACAAAACAGAACAATACCCAAATCAAAATCCGTCTCCCAATTGCTAAAAGAGGTACAAGCTTCCATTTCTTCTAATCTGGAAGTTACTAACCAATTGCAGACATTGGAATAGCGGAAGAGTTGGAATTTGAATGTAAAATGGAAGACGGTTGACGAATGGTTGATGTGGAGTTAGAGATAGGTGAAGAAACTCTTGATTTAGAATCATTACTGAGTTTATTCACTTCTCTTGAATCATTCCCATTTATATCTTGCTTCAATGGGACTTGTGGCTGCCTCATCAAACCATATAAAACCTCGGCAATCTCCATCTCAATCTCTTCTTGAGCTGAAGATGAGGATTTCGACGACAATTTAAGTGACCTTTGCTTTGCCCCGTTAGGCTTCTACATAAAAAAAAAACCAAGTTCTCGTCAATAATTTGAATCAATTGAAAACCCACAAAAGCACAGAACAAAAGATTAACCAGATAACTGACAATCTTCTTCCTCGCAGAAACATTGGAAGAAGATGGAGAAGCAGGAGCCAGCGACGGTGATGTTAGCATCGCAGCTACACCTGTTCTCACCGGCGAAGTTGAAGCTTGACGGTGAATATGTTCTCCACCTACTACACCAACAGCACCACCGCCACTTGATGCCCATTCATGAAACCTTTTAGTAGAAGCTGTAAAAAACAAAAATTAAAAGGAGAACACAACAAATCAGTGACTTCCGAAGTAGAATATGCTAACAAAAAGCTGAATTTCATTGATCTCTTCCATCTCTCTACCTGACCGAGCTTTTCTAGGAACCGACACGCCAATCATCTCATCGGCAGCCTTCCATGTAGACGTGGTAGTTGTTGTGGTAGTCATAGAAGGGCCTGTCGTTCTAATAACTTTCACCGGTACCGGAAAACTCTTCCGGTGCTGATGTTGCTGTTGATGGTGAATGGACAGAGACCCGGCGACGTTGTTTGGCGGAATCATCCGAACAGAACCTCCACCAGCGATGGTTCCCCCGCCTTCTAACTCGTCATCGTCTTCATCATCGTTTACACTTTCTTCGGAACTTTCATCAGCTCCATCTTCTCTGTTACTTATCAAACTATCCCCTCTTCTTCTCTTACTCGCTCTACTCAAGCGATCTCTTTCTCTTTCTCTTTCCCGTTCCATATCTCGCTCTCTATCCCGTTCCCGTTCCCTTTCTCGATCTCTATCCTTCTTTCGATCCCTTAAACGCGTCGTTTCTTGTAACTCCACCGGCCCATCATCCTCTGCACCGAACAAAAAGGGAAAAATAAACCAAACGAAATCAGAAAAACTCACTTTAATGACAGCAACAGAGATGAAAAGGGAGACCAGATCTGATTTAAATAACCTGGTGAGTCTCTAATAGAGCTACTTCTATGCCGCCGCCGAGAAAGGCCGTGTGTGGTGGATGCAACGGCAGCCATAGTGGCTCTCCTGGCTTCTCTGGTTCTATCCATCTCTGTAAATTACTTAATAACAAATCAGTTGAAACAGAAACACCAGCAATCGCATCACTCATCAGTGAATCGTCTCAAATCAACCATAGTACACCGGAAAACAGCGGTGCGGTGACTATCTCCGGCGAGAATCCGATTTAAATAGCTTTTTTCAAAGATCTGGTGTTGAAACAATCTGTCAGTCTCAGACTTGAAAGATTTTAGCTTTTTTTCTCTCTGCCCTTCTCTCCCTCTTCTTCTCCTTATCTCTCTCTTTCCTCTTTTTGTGCTCTAAATGTCATCTTCTTTTCGCTAGTTCACCCTTAATGAAACCCACTCCAAGCCTTAGTGAACGGCCACGATCACTGATTGCCAAATAATGACCGAATCTTAACCCTTCATTCCTCAACAGATCCAACGATTTCCATTGGGTTTAAACCAACATGGCAAGACCTCAACCGTTGATTAATTATCTCTTCTCTCCCTTAACCTTTTTTCTAAATTATTCCCTATTCGCAACGTGTCATTTTTTATTTGCCTTCCCACCTAAGCTTCCGTATTTTTCATCCCACTCGCTACTGATTTGGTAACAAATAATTATTTAATTTGTAATATATAAATATTACTATATATTTTTTATTTTATAGGGTAAATTACATATTTTTTATCTAACTATTTATACATTTTCTTTTTTATCATTCAACTATATTTTTCAAAAGTATACATAACATTACGCTTTAATTTTATTTTGATCACTCATTGTTAAAAAATTAAATGTAATATTAATGTATCATTATAAAATAATTACACATCATTATAAAAAAATAAAAAAAATATCACGTCAGTAGTTACGTTCATCTTTTAATGGTAAGTATTCAAAATAAAATTAAAATATAATATTATATATGATTTTAAAAAATAGATAATTTACCCTATTTTATATAAAGAATATAGTAGTAGGATTAGAGAGATGAATAATCTTGATCAACAAGGAATGGGCCCCTCTAGGATTTGCCGAAGCGAACGTCCTTGGTAGAAATGCTATTGAGTTTGACCATCTCAAGGTATGAGATGACGGGAAAAAATATATGCTTATAACCGGTCAATATTCATTACAGGTACATCGATTCTCGTTTGATATCATAAAACATTCTCCTTATTTAACTTTTTTAATATATATATTAATGTTAGATGTAATATATATTTTAATTACTTTTAAATTAAAAAATTTGGCTGTGGTGTTATTGTAAATAAAAGTACATGATCATTCTTATAATAGATTTATGTAGTATCGAATTTGAATTATTCGATAAATGAATCAAATATAAATAATTATATATATATATATTAGTATATTATTAACAATTTTTATAATATTTTTTTTTGAAATTACAAAAATAAGTCTAACATTTGACTAAATAGTTATTTTGACCTCATTCATTTGTTTTTTTAGTATTTTGGATTTATCATTTTTTGAGTGATTGGGTCTAACATTTTTTATATTGAGATAAAAAGATCATTCTGTGAATGAAAATAGTTATTTAATAAATGGTCTAGAATAGATATTTTTCCCCTAAAATGAAAACGTTACGGGTGAAAATACTCAAAAAATGGATTAAACTGAGTATTTAGTCAAATGTTATGGGTTGATTGAACTGAAATAAAATGTTGAGATCAAAATATCAATGAAATAAATATTAAAATAATTATTTAGACAAATATTAAGGATATTTTTTTATCGTTGTGCATATTTTTATTTAATTTTAATATATGGCTATAACTAATACATAGTACACATATATTATCGTTATAAATATTTATTTATGTAAATATGTATTATAACTGAAATATTATGTATTAAATAACAACAACAACAATAACAACAACAATAACAACAACAAAACCCTATTCCCATATGTAATGGGGTAAGGGGGAGGTAGGGTAGTAGGTTGTCCCCCAACGCCAGGTTGAGAGAAGCTTCCGTGGAGGACCTCCGGCAGTCAAAAAATTAAAAATAAAGATAAAATACAATGCATACTTAAATAAATAAATAAAATACGTAGTTGAACAATCTTCATATGCAGTCCTCATATGCACGTCTGTAATGGTAAGTAATCCCTGCAAATAAATCCCTGCATAAAAATATCTGCATATAGACAGAAACGTAAGACCCGGCCAAAATTATAAAGAGGAAACATGTTGAGCAGTATACACAAAATTCAACGATAGCAGGCTTCGAGAATGGATAAAGTCAAATGGGTTAGAACCTAAACTAAGGTAACACTACTCCGCTACCTTAGTTCTAGGCCTTCATAAATTCCAATGACAGAAACGTATAAAAAGTATAAGTAATGAAATTACTACAAAGGCATTAAAAGAAGACAAAGATGATACACGGATGTGACTCGCCCTACTCGGCTTCCCTGGTCTTAAGTCGCCATAATTTCCTATCAGAGGTCATGTCATCGGTAAGGGCTAAATCCTTCAAATCAGATCTCAAGCAGTCTTCCCATTTCCGCCTTGGTCTACCTCTCCTTCTGGTACCGTCGACTGTAATCGACTCTACCCTCCTAACCGCATCCGATGGTTGTCGTCTTTGGACATGCCCAAACCACCGTAGTCTTCCCTCCCTAAATTTTTCGGATACAGGCACCACCCCCAAGGACATTCTAATAGCAAAGTTTGGTGTCATGTCCCACAGCATCCTACCACATACCCATCGAAGCATTCTCATTTCTGCGGCCTCCATCTTCCTTACGTGATCCTTCTTGATAGCTCAACATTCTGATCCATACAGCAGCGCTGGTCTTATTGCCATTCTATAAAATTTTCCCTTAAGTTTTAGAGGTACCTTCTTGTCACACAAAACTCCAGTAGCAGCCCTCCACTTTAGCCATCCCGCCTTTATACGGTGAGAAACGTCTTCATCTACACCCCCATCTTTACGTATCATAGACCCTAGGTACTTGAAACAATCCTTTGAGGGGAGAACGTGTCCTTCTATGCATATTTTTACATCTTCATCGTTTTGGTTCCCACTGAAGTTTGAACATAAATACTCTGTCTTTTCAATATTGATCCTTAGACCTTTTTCTTCCAAAGCTGTTTTCCAAGTAGACAGTCTACTATTCAGCTCAGTTTTAGTTTCAGCCACTAAGACAATGTCGTCAGCGAAAAGCATACACCATGGCACACCGTCTGGTGTCGCACAATAGATGTCATCCATAATCAAAGCGAAGATGTAAGGGCTAAGAGCCGACCCTTGGTGGAGTCCGATTTCCACCGGGAATGCCTCGGTGTCACCAACTGTAGTCCTGACATAGGTAGTAGATCTACAGTACATATCACGAATCGCGCGGATATAAGCAGTTGGGATCCTTCTCGTTTCCAATGTCTTCCAGATCGTATCGCGGGGAACGCTATCATACGCCTTCTCAAGGTCAATGAACGCCATGTGAAGATCTCTATTTTTTCCCTATATTTCTCCATAAGCCGTCGAAGTAGATGAATCGCCTCCGTAGTAGACCTGCCTGGCATAAAGCCAAATTGGTTTTCTGAAACCCTAGTAATATGTCTCAACCTAGCCTCTATCACCCTTTCCCATAGCTTCATGGTATGGCTGAGTAGTTTAATACCTCTGTAGTTGCCACAACGTTGGGGATCGCCTTTATTCTTATAGATTGGTATCACCGTAGACTCTCTCCACTCCTCTGGCATCTTGGCAGTCTCTAGAATAAAATTAAAGATGTTGGTCAACCACTTAACTCCCTCTTCTCCTAGGGCCAACCACACAGTGATAGGAATTTGATCTAGACCGACAGCTTTGTCCCTTCCTATCTTTCTAAGAGCCATTTTGACTTCCTCAAACCCAATCTTACTTGTAGGGCAGTCAATGACCGTTGTATGATGGTCGGCTGACCCATCAACGGTACTATCTCTACAGGGAGAGGCACCGTCATTAAATAAGCCAAAGAAGTAACTACCCCAAACCCTCTTAATATCATGATCTTTCACTAAGAGGACACCATTGTTGTTCTTAATAAACCTAATGCTACCTAGATCCTTTTTCCTATTCTCCCTGGATTTTGCAAGCCTGAAGATGTCGTTTTGACCTTCCTTAGTGTCTAATCTCTTGTACATTTCCTCGTATGCCTTATCCTTTGCTTTAGCCACCATTTTCTTGGCTTCCCGCTTTGCCTCCTTGTATCTTTGTTTAGCTTTTGATCTTTCTTCGTCGTCAGTGCATTGTAACAACTCCTTGAAGCAAGTTTGCTTTGTCTTCACCTTAGTTTGGACTTCGTCGTTCCACCACCACGATTCTTTATGTTCCTTGACCTTCCCTATCGACAACCCAAGGGTGTTTTTGCCTACCTCTCTGATGGAATCTGCCATATTTTTCCATAACAAATCTGCATTTTTTGAGTTTGAAGTTTCAAAACTTGTATTAGACAAAACCTTACTCCTAAAGTCATCAGTTGTGGCTCCATGTAAGTTCTTCCAAAGGATCATAGGTTTACCAAGCTTAGCCCTCCTATGAGTGCTCTTCCCGTGGCGAACGCGGAACACCAAAACCAACAATCTATGTTGTGACGCGCATGCCTCTTCAGGGAACACCTTACAGTCAGTGCAAGCCCATCGATCCCGATTTCGAACCAGGATGTAGTCGATTTGGGTACAATGTCCACCGCTATAGAACATAATCAAGTTCATATCTCTCTTGTTAAAGAAGGAGTTTGTGACCACCATATCGTGTGCAACTGTAAATTCAAGCAACGTACGCCCCTCCTCGTTCCTACTACCAAACCCGAAACCCCCATGAACACCGTCATACCCGTCGGTTCCCCTACCTACATGGCCATTGAAGTCTCCCCCTATGAAAACTCTTTGGTCCTCCGGAATGCTCCTAAGGACATCATCTAACTGATCCCAGAAGCAACGTTTCTCCCCCTCCCCTAGGCCAACGTGTGGGGCGTACACTGAAAGGACATTCACCACTTCCGCTTCTATAATAACCTTAATCATCATAATCCTATCCCGATATCTATAAACTTCAACTACATTTTCCTTGAGCCTAGAGGATACCAAGATACCCACCCCATTTCTAGCGTTATCTACGCATGAATACCACAACTTGTACCCATTACACTCTCTGGCGCGAGCCCCTTTCCACCTAATCTCCTGAATACATGCCAAATCTATTTTCCTATTACTAAGTACATCGGTCAGTTCCAGCAGCCTAGCATTTAATGTGCCTACATTCAATGAACAAACTCTAAGTCTAGTCTCCTTGACACCACTCTGTCGAGCCCT